CTCATTTCCATAATGCCCAATGCAATCTACTGGAGTGCAAACAGAAAAAAAAAATTAAATAATGAGTCTTGGTAAATCAATACGTTTGGATAAGCCATGTTATGTGTAAGAGATTCTTTTGGGGCACTAAATAATCCCAGTACACTGACTTCTGGAAACCCTAATAGTATAATACATTAATAAAGTGAATGTATTATTTACATTAATAATTTTTATCCATGTGGTACCAACATGTTTTCATAGATCTGATCACAAGTGGTTAGTCAGGACATATATCCACTAACATATGCGTAAGGTTTTGGTGCACTTTCTGATGATGATGATGATGATCACATTTTGACTAGCTCTGTAAATGATGGAAGGTGGACAAGCTCAAAATATTTAGACACTATTTACACTTAGGAGTTAGTAAGGAAACTCCTACAAATGCATAAACAAGAATCATAATGCTCAAGGTCAAATGATTTTTAGGTCTGATGTTTTTTACTGCGGGTAAATATTTTTATTAAATCCCAACTGTCTTTCCTTTAATGCCAAAAAGGATTTGCGCTGATATAAGTGTTTACTAAATTTGGCCGTTTTTTCTTTGTTGTCTGCCGTAAATGATGGATTTCACAATATTTTGGATTCAAGGGGAAAAAAAGATGGGCTGCCAAATAAAGTACATGTCGTTTGTAAATGTTGCCAGCACCAGCTAAATTACTCGAGATATATGACAAAACTGTCAATACTGTTTTGCTAAGTCATAAATAATGTAATCACTTTTATTTGTTTAAATATATTTACTTATGATTGCTTTTTTTGTGAACAGAACCTCAATTTTGATTAAGAGTTACTATAAAAAATGCAGCAGTGATTAAAAGAAACTGAAAAAAATGTAGAAACTGTAATGTTTACACAAGTTAATTAGTGCAGGGTAAATTTTTTTATACAAGTAATAGATTACAAATTGTATTCTGATTACATTACTAATAACTTAGTCAAAAGTAATCCACAAGCAGAGATACATTCTAACATTTAGATGGTGCTCGATTTCATTCAAACAACTACTAAAACACAAACATGGTATCACACATAATACTAAAGTAATGCAATAAACATTATTTATCAAAATTAGATGTACATTAAACTTCATAATGCTACAAACCATATTAATGTTAACAACAACGATAAAAAAATTAAAAAAAATAAGTGTCATTCAGTGAAACAGGTTTCTAACATTTTACCTTAGTTTATTTATTTATTTATTTTTTACCGTAGAACGGTAAAAAAAAACTTTTTATAATCATAGCCATTTTTATTAACAGTATATCACACTGTGTTAATTCAAAATCGCTGGGAATGGTATTGTTGGCAAAAAAAGATCACACCATGATAGGACATCTAATAAATACTAATAATAGTTATTGAGAGCCAAAAGAGGGTAAATCTAATCATCAGAGTCTTATTTTTATTGATTTATGTTAGCCCTGGTTCTGAAGAAAAAACAAACAAATAATTGATATATTGTGTATCAGGGGTCTCAAACTCCGCCATTTACGGTCCACACTCCACCTTCCTCCGGACCGCCAAATATGTCAAAAATATAATGAGATTCGGCCCCCAAAAACATACGTTTTTTTGTATCACTATCATTATTGAGCTGTCGTGTATATTTACTTGTGGTTTTGACCTGCTGCTCTTGCACTGTTAAACTTTTGGTAAAGCAACAATTGGTTGGGACATAATAATAAAAATTATTATGACTATTATGACTACCAAAACACAATTTTAAGCTGTTGACAGTCATTTATGTTTCCCACGCTGCTAAAAACCCTATTAGGACACATATATACTCATAAAAAGTGAAAATTGGTTGTTTTTGTGTTATTTTGAGCAAATTCGTTCTTCCAGTTTGAAAAGAAATTTTTGAAGCTGCATCAAGCAGAATAGATCCTTGTGTGTATTCCAGCGTGTAGACTGGCTGTCTGTACCCGGGGGTACTTTGTGACGTGTCTGAGTGCGCTGCAATCATTGATGAGAAAGACTTGGTTCAAACCAATCAGCGCGCTCTATTGTGTATGCGGTGCAACTTCATTAATATGCATGATAGCTTCCAAGACTTTTTGTACCTGTACAGTGTTCAGACGGCAGAGAGATGCCACATTGTGTAGCCAAAACAATTGGGAGAAGAAGAATTGTTTGGAGATAAGAGTCGTCAGTGCTGCTTTTATAATTTGCTGCATCGAAGGATTTGTTTTCATTTTCCCGCCATGAAAGCGCAGCTGGACTCACGTGTGGATTACAGTGCACGCAACGCTCGACAGAAATACGCGTCTAAGGAACATGTTTTACCCGAGAGCTTTTCGCATCAGGAAATGGTAAAATCCTGATTTGCTGCTTGTCTCCTTTTAATAAAGATGCGACTACAGTTGGTGTTGATTGCCATGTCTCTACAGATTTGGTAAGCGAGCAATCAGTGGTCTTTGTTTGTTTATTCAGATGCAAAGTTAGTTTGTATCGTCAGCTGTACTCTTTCAGTGTTTAAAAGACGGACCTTAGTGAAATGATTTCTAAGTTACTAAAGTTTACAGTATGTTAATATCACTACAATATTATACTGAAAGATCCGCTGTAAATGCTGCTCTCCGAGTATAAACATGTAAACACATCAGACTATTACCGTTGTGTAGGATTTTCGCCGATTTTTGTGACAGGAATAACACACAGCTTTCTGACGCTACCTACCGAGTGCATCTAAGTTTCTGAGAAATGCAGAGGTTTTTTTCTCTCATTCGCCGTGCGGCATGAAACATTGTGACAAAAATACACGCTTCCAGCAATTCCTCTGATCAAATATCTCGTTTGTCACAAGAGGCATGAATGAAATGCCTGACTGAAAGTGCCAAACTGCAGTTAAAGTCCACCATTTATTAATTTGTCAAATAATTCGATTACTGATGTCCATGTAAACACAGTCACTGGGCCCTATCATACACCCGGCGCAGTGTGGCGCAAAAAGCGGCGCATTAGTCTTTTGGTAGTTTCAGCTTGGCGCAAGAGTCGTTTTGAGGCGTTGCGCAACGCTGTTTAAATAGCAAATGCATTAGCGCTCATTTGTGCGCCCATAGGCGTTCTGGTCTAAAAAGGAAGGCGTTCTGAGGCGGACCGCTGTCGCGGTGCTATTTTGAGAAACTAAAATAGATTTTTCATTAGACCCAAACTAACCCGGTCTAAACTCCAGCGCAGAGTTGCGCCTCGCTTACACACTGCTTAATACGCACAAGAGAGCAATAGGCAAATATCTTTACACATGAAAAAAAAAAATATTAAGGATATATATATAGGATATAATAACAATAGATATAGGATATAAATATAAAGGATTAAAATATTACAAAACATATTATTTTCTAACCTACATAAATATGAAAAATCACTGCTTTTATGCCTTCTTCATCTCGGGAGGCTTTTTCAGTTCATTCATAACAATTTGCTTTTGTATAATGTTATTATTATTAGCAGTATTGTTTATTATATCCATATGTATATTTGTTTTATTAAAAACAAGCTTAGATTTGCCCACCTGTCAGGTTTTAGACCATAAGGGGCACAGCATGTGTTTTGGGATATAACTCAGTATTTTGACCACACTTGGTCATTATTGTTCATTTGTTTGTTTGCTAGAAATTAGAACTGAATTTAGAAATAGTTTTGAAACTAATCTTTGCGCTTATTAAACGAAATTAATTATTTATAGACTAATTGATGTCTGTGCGTAAAGGTTTCCCTATCCAAGAGCGAAAGTGAAAGTAGATCATTTATCTCTCATTCTCACGCAGTAGATGCTCTGTTTAACAGTTTTCTGTGAAAAAACTGTCAACTGTGTGCTTGTGAAATGCTCATTTTTTCCACTTAGACTTACTTTGCGTCCTGTAAATAGGGAATGCGCTCTTTACGCGACACAGCTGACTCTTAAAGGGAATGGGAGATGAGACTCTAATTGGTTTATTCTCGAAACACACCTATAACTCATTAAGAAAATAAACTCAACCCTTTTAGAACATGCGCCTTGGCGCAAGGCAGATTTCCCGTCCTTAAATTAGCAAAAAAGCGTCCTGACACGCCCTGAAAGCGTTTGCGCCCTGCAAATGGACCGTCAAAATAGAGCCCACTGTCTTTCTGCCCAGCATCTGTGTTTTTGTTTTGCCTCAGTAAAAATTAGCGTGTGCCAAAATCGAAACTCCCATTTTAATACAAATTTTTGTGCACCTTCCCCCTTTCCCTCCTCCGACACTCCCCCTAAACAGAGCTGGACACGCCCACTTTCCTGACTTTTTCAAAACTAGAGGTGTAAAAACACCCTGCTGAAACAGGGGGGTTTCGTGGCCCTTTAAATGTCAAGATGCTAATTTAAACAGCCCTAGATATATTTCAGTAGTTGTGTGAAGCAATAAACATGCTGATTTGCATTATCACTGGTGACAGGTAATGCTTGATTTATAAACATCAGGTCTGTTGTCCTAGGATGCATTAATTACTTCACTTTTTTCTTGTGCTTGAATATTAAAATGGACTCCTATGAATTGTCAGTCTTTGAAAAGGCCCCCCGCCAATTTGAGTTTGAAACCCCTGCTGTATATGATATACTGAACGTGATTATTTGAAAATGGAAGTAGCAATAACTTCTTGTTTGGCTCTGGTTCTTGTGTTACTTCTGGAAATTGTTCAGGTATAAAAGAAAATCACTTTTTTATCCTACACAAAGCTGTGAAGCGCTGAAAAATATGGACATCTTTCATTAATGACCTCTACAGTTCATCTACCCCTGGAGACATGAACTTCTTTATGAATGCTTTAAAAGGTTTGCAGTCTTATGACAGTTGTCTTCTCGTGAAAGTGAGAAGAATCCTTCAGTTTGAAAGACATACAGTTTGAGTTTAAGGGGGTGGCTGAAAACAAAAACACACACACATACAGTACACACACATACACACAGTGTGAATTTGAGTAAGACTCACCGATAAAGCCCAGCTGAGAAAACTCTAGAATCATCCACTCCTCTGACGGCTGCTGCAGGGCAAAATTTTTCATCGTGGTGAAGTAATTTGGCCGAGCAACAATGTCATCCTCTAGCTGTGAGAAAGAAAGAGAGAGACAGAAGGAAAACGTGTAAATCGGTACAATGTGGACCAGAGTTTTGTGCTTTGTTTTTTCCAGATTTAAGTGATGTCAAACTTTTTTTTAAGTATATAAAAAGGCTCAAGGAATAAAGGGTGAAGTGTGTCATTTACCAGAGGTTAATACACTTTTGTTTATCACAGCTAAAATTGCAGTAAGTACCATCTACACTACTGCGTTTTCTTAAATAGTTATTATATTTTAAAATGAAAAGGCTCCTTGTCCAGACTGATGTTTTTACTGCATCTCAGAAAAAATGATCTCCACCCACACTGTACAGCATACAGTAAAACACATAAAAAGTGACCTGGCATCCATACTTGCCAGACACATGAAGAAATGGGGGTTTTGGGGGCTTGAGCCAATGAAAACCAGACATAAAACGCACAAGTGTAAACGGGGCCAGAGAGTGGTAGTTGATAAACATGCCTCCATTTTCAAAAGTTTGCATTTCATTTTGTCTATAATAATAAAAAAAAAAAAAAAATACATTTCTAAACTAAAACAAGGGGCCCTATCATACACCTGGCAAAATAGAGCACAAGACATGTAATTTTCACGTTTTGTGCAATGTTGTTTTTATAGCAAATCTATTTGCGCCACTTTGTGGACTCATGGGTGTGCTGGTCTAAAAAGGTGTGTTAAGGCACATAATTGGAGTGTTGCTTTTTTAAGGAACTGAAATAGACTGAGCCGTTGACCAAGTAAAAGCTGGTCTAAAACTGTTGGAATATCAAGCCAATTCCACGCGTGTTCAATAAGAAAAGGTCTGGAGAGGGTTTTCTTCAATGACAAAAATATTGGTAATTTATTAGATACAAATGAATAATTTGATGACAGAGCTCTGGGTTACGTTACCCCAATGCAATACAAGAATTGCATTCAAGAAGTTCGCAACTAACATACATTTCCTGACTCCAGCATATATACACAACTGATATTAACAGGTGGAGTTTGGTGTAACGTCACTTATCATTTATTCTGCAGTCCTATGGCTCTTGTACCGCAGACATACTTCCTCTTTCTGCAACCCTTCTCTGCATACCAGACCTGAACAATTACGTGCATCTTTAATATATTTCACAACATCAACAAGCATCATGACAACTTGTGACATGTCTAGATTGCAGTCTGGAACAAAGGCGCCCACCCTAAATTTATTCGTATTATGCTATTTCCATCTTGTCAGCATTTTCTTCTAAAAAGTATGCAGCACAGTAAAAAAGAAGTTATGTCTGGTCAATATGTGGTATCATACAACAAAAAAAGATTGATTAATCTGTTGTTAATCTAAACATTTTTCTAATACAAAATAAAAACACAAAAGTAATAAAAATAAATTCACCTTTTCCCACAAAACATATGGGGCAAAAGAATAAGTGTTTGGACCACACTTTGTTATTATTGTTCAGTTTTTTTCGACATTACAACTGAATTTAGAAATAGTTTTAAAAAAACATTTGTGCTTAACAAACAAAATTAAGTATGTAGGCTAATTGATGTCTTCAGTGGAGTGCGTACAACATCGTTTCCTTATCTATGAAAGTAAGGGATTAAAGTAAAGAGGAAGAAAGGAAGAGGTCCATTCTTGATCCTTGCTACAGATGGTCTGTTTAACTGTTTTCTTGCTATTGAAGCGTTTTTCCACTTGCAAAGTCTGTGGAACGTTTTCCCACTTGCACAACCTGGTTAGACCATGTATCGGGGAGCAAACTGTATTTATCCATTCTTAAAATAGCATTTGGATTTGGACACGCTCAGAATCTCCAGTTTAAATGCAGCCTTAATTATCCATGTAAATGATCAGTGGCATAAAGTAGTGTACAATTAGACCCATAATTAGTGTTACATGAGCAAAAATACTTTCAAATGTGTATATTTTTATATTATGAACTATTAACAACTAGAACATTTGCAGTGACTTTTTTGATACATACTGTAAATATTTCTATTTTTGTGAAAATAGCTCTGTGTGGGTTTTTTTAAAATCAGGTATTTTGATCATTTTGTGATTAATTCATTAAGCTGGCTAGTTGCCACATATTTAACAATTTTTAACACTTTATAAAAGCAGTATGTGAATAATGATGCGTTCATATGTAAACTAAACATTACTTTATTATGATATAATGATGACTTAAGGCATGTGCTAATCATGAACTAACTACAACATGAGTCACATGAGTTCATGTCTGAATAATGGCTTCCTTACTTACTTGTTAGTACATGATTGTTTGTTAATTAATGTGTTAATTACCACATTAGTTTATGCTTCATATAACCATCATGAACTCATGATATGTTAACATATAATTATATCACGACTTTACTTGGATGGGCACATCATCAACCCATTCTTTAATCCTCATGAACTCCTTATGCATGTTCAACTAATGCGTTTACATTGAACAACAATTGAAAGTGTTCTGTCAACATCAACAGTTTAAACTAGAGTTCACGAGTAGTTTAAGGATGAGTTAATGGTGATGTGCCCCTCCAAGTAAAGTCATGACATAATTATACATTACCAGCTCATGAGTTCATGTTGGTTACAAATAGCTTAAACTTAATTAATACATTAACTAACAACATGTACTAACAAGTAATTAATGTAGCCATTTTCACACAAGAACTCTTGTGACTCATGTTGTAGTTAAAGTTCATGATTAACGTGCCCTAACTCATCATCATCAATTCACAATGAAGTGATGTTTAGTTAACATAAACGCATCATTATTCATGTACTGTTATTGTAAAATGTTACAGTAACATTTAATTTTTTCAAATCACATGACACAGGTATAGTCAAGCTGCTACAGTTCAATCCAATGCAGTGCAAGATGGGCAGTGATTGTTTTTTTTTGTCTCCACTTTATCTACATTAGGGCTGCACAATATATCGTTTGAGCATCAATATCACAATGTGTTTTTCCACAATAGTCACATCGTTAGATATGCAACATTGAGGGATTATAGATGACCAGAAACCACAGGTCAAAACAGATTTGTGGAGAATCTGCAGAACTGAACCATTATAGAGTAAAAGATTAAAATCTCCATGTGTTGTTAAGGCCTGTGTGAACATTTTAAGAATTTGAAACATTGAAACAAGACAACAGAAAGAGCAACACAATTAAAAAAAAAATTAAATTTTGTATATCATGAAGATTATGCAAGGCTCTTTTAAATTTGACTTTTCAATTTCTGTACCTGAATACGGTTTAGACCAAGGGTGTCAAACTCAATTCCTGGAGGGCCGAAGCCCTGCACAGTTTAGTTCCAACCCTGCTCCAACACACTTACCTGTAGGTTTCAAACAAGCCTGAAGGACTCAATTAGTTTGATCAGGTGTGTTTAATTATGGTTGGAACTAAACTGTGCAGAGCTGTGGCCCTTTTGGAACTGAGTTTGACACCTGGGGTTTAGACACTCCTCGGAAATCCATAAAGCGCTGTTTATTTCACTTTAACATTTGCTCCATTGTGTATATTTATGACTGTAGTTTGATTTTTATTAGTAATAAATTTTATTATTAAATTTGTTTCATTCCTATATAAATCATCCACAATAATATAAAGTAATGACTTCCCAAACAGAGATATTTATGTCATGTAGTGAAATTGTATTTATATCGCAGGGGAAAAAAAATATTGCAATGTCAAAATTGAGCAATATCGTGCAGCCCTAGTCTGCACTGTATCTACATCTCAAGATGTGACGTGAAAAATTCCAACTGTACTCATGAGGCTGTCCTTGTCCTATGAGAAGATGCTTTTCTTAATTATTCATGAAAGAATGAATTACTTTCCTGAGAGACGCTTTAATCTGTGTGCATTATGGGAGAGACGTGATCATGAATCAAAAGTGAATGTTTGTTTTTGCTTTAAAGACATTTCTGTGCGGCTTAAATCCTCTATTGGGTTTTATGACCCCTCAACACAGAGCACGATGGAGCTTTTAAACCCGACAAATATGAAAACGGGTCTGAAAGCCATTATTTTCCTTCAGCTTTTGTGGAAATTAAACGCTTCGAGTTTAAATTCTGCTGTTCCTGTCTGTACTTTTATGACATTTTATGGCTGTCACTTTTTGGAGTGCTGGCGAAATGCATTTTCTAATGCATGTGACGGGAATCCCAAGCAACAAAAAGCTAACTTAAAGTGGATTTGAACTCTTCTCTAAGAAAAGCAGCCTTCATGCACATCAGTGTCAGAGAACAGACTCTACAGTGAACAATTCATTGGGGAGAAAAATGCTAGGCCTTTCTTATGTGTTGGTTTTATCTAAATGCCAAAAAAACTACTTTGGCTTTACTCAAAGATCAGTTTATATTTAATGGAGCTTTCCATTCCCCCCGAAAGCCATTTCCCAGAGTTCTTACAACATTGAAACACAAGGCAATCCGTCAGAATTTATTTGGACCGTCTGACAGAATATTATCACTTATTTATTGCTTCGATATAAGTAAAAACCATCCTGGAACCATCTTTGCTCATGAATTTACTCATGCTTTCTTCTAACATCTCACCCTGGACAGCACTACCAGTTTTCAGTTGCACGGACACACTTTTGGTAATAGCTACTCATTGTAGATTTTTCAGATGAATCATCTGTTAAACTGCATCCTAATCATCACAAATACTGCAGGAGACCTACTGGAACCCAAATGGACCCAAGATTCTCACAGAAATCAGTCAAGTTTGGTGAAGAAAAAATCATGGTTTGGGGTTACATTCAGTATGGGGGTATAGGATAGATCTGAAGAGTAGATGGCAACATCAACAACCTAAGGTATCAAGACATTTGTGCTGCCCATTACATTACAATGCACAGGAGAGGGCTCCTTCTCACACTTCAGCCTCCACATCAAAGTTCCTGAAAGCAAAGAAGGTCAAGTGCTGCAGGACTGACCAGCCCAGTCACCAGACATGAATATTATTGAGCATGTCTGGGGTAAGATGGAGGAGGAAATGAAAGTAAAACCAAAGAATCTAGATGAACTCTGAAAGTCCTTCAAGAACACATTCTTTTTCATTCCAGATGACTTTACTAATAAGTTATTTGACTCATTGCAGAGATGTATGGATGCAGCACATGGCAGTCATACACAATATTAATTATTTTTTAAAGTGCACCATTACTTTTTATTCTATACATTATTTCTTGCAGCTGAAAACAAAAAACTTTGACAATAATCACCTCACAATTTGAGTTTGAATGCCATCTTACATGACATTTATTGCCATAAACTGAAAGCATCAGCAGATAATTTACCTCAGATCTTGAAAAAAATCAACAATTTTAAATTTAACTTCAGAACTATGACTCAGTGGAAACCAACACATATCAATGATTAATGTTAAAGAGACTTAATGTGTATTAATTACATTGTAAACCTTACCATTTCAGAGTGCAGCGTATGTACTATGTTGTGCTTCTGAATGGCTATATTAAAATTTATTAAAACATAACAGCCAAATTTCATATCACTGCAAATCTCATCACATATCGAATTGTTAGGACATGGGGTTACAATGTAACCTGCTCACCTAATGTTTACATCTGTAATATTTATATTATTTGCTAATTAATAACCTCATGTGGAACTCTGAATCTACGTCTCATTTCGGAGTCTGCTACTGTGCACCGGAGGTCGCAATTTGGTCATGGAAGCATACTTTAAGAGCGTTTCTAACTGAATAAATAGAGGGCCAATCGGCTGCTAGCATAAAATTGGTTCCCTTGATAAAATCCCAATAGGATTTTCCCATAGGCTTTTCGGAGATCGCAAATAATAAGCTCTGTGTTCAAACACTGTTCATTACACTTACATGTTTTGATCAACTAGATAATCCTCACACGAAAATACATAATTTAGCACTTTTGGATCTTGAATGCAAATGCAAGAATTGAAAAGCTAACATTAGGCTTTAATCAGACGGTGTCATTGGGGCACTCGTCTGTGACGTCAGCACTACCCTGCTAATGACAACTTTTCAAACGTATCTTTATAAATATCATCTATGACAATGATCAGTTTATTATATTAAAATCCACGCTACATATTATAAACTAACAAATATGCAAAAACACATCTGTCACATATTTAAATAAGTGTATCGTTCGCATGCATACAACCAGATTAATTTATTAATAGACGACAGAAATGAGGCGTGAGGGACAAGTCTATATGCCTGCAAGTTCCAACATGGAGAACAACGTTCAATTTTTTTTGTCACTAAGGACAGCAAAAAGCAGCTCATACAGTCACATATGCTATAAATTATTGATCAGTGTAAATATTGCAGTTATGACATGGAGTTAAATGTGTTCAGATGAAGAAGAAAAAAACGACTGAAAAAAATGCATTGATCACGTTAAAATGACAGTTAATATGTATGTATATTTACACATTTATTCACACATTACTGAGAGAAGGAAATCAACAGGCTGCACTGGTAAGCAGTATCTTCATAACATCGTTGAATTAAATATATGATCAACAAATTAATCTGTCTTGGCGGAGTGAAGGTATTACCTACACACAATTTAAATTCCCAATTAGAAACATACCACAAACTATAAAATACTATTTATGAAAACAACTCCGAATGCTCAACGCAACTGGGCTGCGTTCCAGACCAGTTCAGCTTAATGACGCAAAATGTCTCCGAAACCACCTGCAGTCCCATTTAGCAACTTGATAGCAACCATCTATTATGAAGGTAATCGATTTAAAATATCAAGGGTGTGATGTAGCTGAAGTATTTTTTGTTGTATAATAAAACGTGAAAGTATCTTAAGTTAGTGGTAGCCACAGACCTTAAGCGATTTAATTAAAATTCTATATTAACTTTGGGATGAGGGAACCGAAAAATGCTAAATGGCTAACTCGCTTCCAGGTTTTTGCATATACAAATTGAAGTCATAGTTCCTCCACTCTATGAAATATGTTTTTTTCCCAACTAGGCAACCAGGGGTGCTGTAATATAATTGGCTAAAGTGGCAGTGGGCGGGTTAAAGAGACCAAAACAAAGACAACAGTTCCAGCACGTAACGCACATTACCAAAGCAGAATATCTGACTTTAGCATAGTTTTTCTGAAAAACAAGAATATTCAGTTAACATGTTTCTTAAATATCTGCCAACCTATTATAATATTCTTATCAAAAATGTACATACGGCACCTTTAAGTATAGATTATGTTGCATGAATATATTTACTAAATTTACTATTTTTGATAAATAATGTGCATTGCTAAGAACTTGGTTTAAATAACATTTAAGGTCATTTTCTCAGTATTTGGATTTTCAATCCAGACTTTTAAATAGTAAAAAATGCAGGGTACCATACATTTCCTTAGTGTTGTCCTAGCACAAATCGACTAAGTTAACATAATTGTTTTAACAAACTTAAGTAGATCGAACATGATAAAAAAACTCTAAAATTGTGTAGTTTCAACTTTATTCAAATAAGTAGTTTAAACAAGCACCTAAAATAATATTTTGAGTTTATATCTGCTAAATATTGACCCATCCTAAAAAAGTATGCATAAAGTATTCACTAAAATTAATTATAATCTAAATAATAATTGTTACATCTGACTGGTTTTGTGATTCCAGCTCACATATGAGAATCTTTTCAGTTTTAAAAAATAATATTCCGTCTTAATCTTAATCCTACCTGTACATAATAGTTCCCTTTAGTCTGGGCGTACATCATCAGGAAGCAGTAATCCAGGTTCTGCTTTGTTCGCCATCTGCAAAAACAATTGGCATTTACTTGATAAAGCGCAATAAACAGCCACACATACACAATCAAACAGATTAAAGTTAATGAATAGCAACAGAGACCAGCTGTTTACAAACAAGAGGACATTGAGTGATGAATTATTAGTGGCAGCTGCTGTTTATTCAGCGTTCGGATGTTCTTTTCAATTGTGAAGAGCAAACAACAACATCTAAAGCCTCACAAAAGTAAGAGACACTCAAGGGAAACTCACAGGAATGCAGAGAGAACATGCAAACCCCATACAAAAATGTGAACTGGCCCAGCTGGGACTCGAACCAGCAACCTTCTTGCTATGGGAAGACAGTGCTAACCACTGGGCTACCATGCCGGCCCATTCTCCAACTTGATACAACTGAATTTTAAGATATTAACTCCATTAAATTAACCAATTTTACCAATGATATCAATCCATTATAATGGATGGATGTTACTGAATGGATGGTTGTATGGATGGATGGATGGTAGGATGGAACTAAATGGATGGATGGATAGCTGGATTGATGGATGGATTGATCTAAACGGACGGATACATGAATGTAATTGAACCGATGGATGAATGGATAAATGAATGTAACTGAACAGATGGATTGGTGGATAGATGTAACTGAACAAATGGATTGATGGATGGATGGAACTGAACGGATGGATGGATGGATGAAACTTAACGGATGGATAGATGTAACTGAATGGATCGATGTAACTGAATGGATGGATGTAACTGAACGGATGGATGGATGGATGTAACTTAATGAATGGATAGATGTAACTGAATGGTTGGATGTAACCGAATGGATGGATGTAACTGAAAAGATGGATGGAAGTAACTAAACAGATGGATTGATCGATGGATGTAACTGAATGGAAGGATGGATGGATGGAAGGAACTATAGGCATGGGTAAATGAATGCATGGATGGAACTGAACAGATGCATGGATTGATGTAAATGAAGGAATGGATGGATGAATGGATGTATATAAAAAGGTGGATTGATAGATGGATGTAACTGAATGGATGGATGGATGTAAGTGAACAGGTGGATGGATGGATAGATTTGAATGGATAGATGGATGGATGGCTGTAACTCAACGAATGGATGGATGGAACTGAATGGATGGATGGAACTAAATGGATCCTAACTGAACGGATGGATAGATGGATGGATAAATGGATGTAACTAAATGGATTGATTAGTGGATGGATGTAACTGAACAGATGGATTGATGTAACTGAACAGGTGGATGGATGGATAGATGGATGGATGGATGTAACTGAACAGATGGATGATGGATGGATGTAACTGAACAGGTGGATGGATGGATGGATGGATGGATCTAAATAAATGGATGTAACTCAACGAATGGATGGATGGATGAAACTGAATGGCTGGATGGAACTAAATAAATGAATAGATGTAACTGAATGGATGGATGCAACTGAACAGATGGATAGATGGATGGATGTAACAAAACAGATGGATTGATCAGCAATGGATGTAACTGAACGGATGGATGGGTGGATTAAACGAAAGGCATGGGTGAATGAATGGTTGAATGGAACTGAACGGATGCATGAATTGATGTAATTGAAAGAATGAATGGATGAATGCATATAACTGAAAGGGTGGATTGATGGATAAATGTAACAATGGATGGATGGATATAACTGGATGGAGGGGTGTAACTGAATAGATGAATGGACGTAACTGGATAGTTACAGTTGTCATTAGGAAGGATAAAATCTTCAGATTCATGTGAAGTGTGTACTGTTTCATGATTATACAGGTGTAATGCCTGCTTATGAGCACCCTTTAAATACCAAATATCCCTCTCTGCATCCTACATTTGTTCTCTATGCTGTTATATGCACCCTAACTATAAAAACCTGTGATGTCCAGCTGTTGGACACCATCCCTGACAAACATCTTTACTCTTTCTCTTAAATTAGTTTTATCAGAGCCTCTTGGGGTTACATCTGCCCAACATTTCTTCATGCTATGTTAGATTAAAATACACTCAAAGTCATTTGGGTTGTTTACAGACTGCCCTAAGCAAATCTTTAACCACTAAAACACTGGATTTTATTTATTGCTATGAAAAATAAATAAGATTCTTTTAACGTGTAAAATAGTGAACTCAGGTCACCAAAATCATAAGTAATAAATAATGGCTGTCAGATTTGTTTATTTCTGTGAACCCAGATTAAATGTTGGATCTGCTTAATTGACAAGTCACTTGAAAACACTGCGGAATATGCAAAAATCGAAGTAATATAATTATGACCAAAAAACTCACCTCAAGTGCCTATTTTTCAAGAGCCTGTGGTGTTTTTACATGGGAAACAACTGAATAGTAGATTAAGAGTAAAACTTTTTAACTCAAAAACCACAACCATTTAAACTACAGATGCTGAGCTAAACGCCTGCAACACATCTCAGGAATGAAGGCGTCCAGTCTAAAATAGATTAGTATTTTTCTTGGCTGATTGGTTATTGATTAGCTTGTCTGCTTGATTGGTGATGGATTCATCTGGCTGTCTGATCCAGCATTGATCCGTTCGTCAGAGGTGCTCTGGGTTGGACCGGTCGGTCTGATGAGATCCGACAGGCTTTGAGCACAAACCGATGTTAATGAACATATTTACTTGCATCAGTCTGCATTGTGCTGACCGTTTATTTTAGGAGAATGTGCAACGAATGTGTTCGTCCAGATGTCCAGAATAAAGCACTGCTGTTTCGCTTTGGAGAGTGGTGGGATTGCCAAATGAAAATGTTCAGAACATTTGAATTAGGAAAAGTGTTTGTTCTTGAAGTAAGCTCTAGTTCAACATTTAAAATTAAAATCATGTGAAATAATCGTAATCTTCATTAGAGATTGAGAAATGAATAAAACTAAAGCTGGGATTCGTGGGATTGACAGTGTTTCCTGACCCTGTCACACTTTCTGGTGCATTCAGATTAAAGTTAATTACAAAGCCTTGATTAAATCCTGAGAATGTTTATTGATTATTGTGAAACTACTAAACCCATTCTAAGCCAGTTTAGACTTGTGTGTACAATATATATATATATATATATATACACATATATATACATATATATATATATACATATATATATACATATATATATATATATATATATATATATATATACATACATACATACATACATACATACATACATACATACATACATACATACATACATACATACATACATACATACATACATACATACATACATACATACATACATACATACATACATATATATATATATATATATATATATATATATATATATATATATATATATATATATATATATACATATACATATACATACATCCAGAAAGTATTCATAGCTTCACTTTTTTTGAATTTTCTGTAGACCTCCAAGACAGGATTGTCTCAAGGCACAAGGCAGGGGAAGGTTACAGAAATATTTCTGCTGTCCTGAAAGTTCCAATAGGCACAGTGGCCTCCATCATCCATAAGTGGAAGATGTTTGGAACAACCAGGACTCTTCCTAGAGCTGTACAGAAACATCCTGAATGAAAAACTGTTTCAAAGTGCTCTTGACCTCAGACTGGGGCTACAATTCATCTTCCAGCAGGACAATGACCTAAAGCACACCACCAAAAAAATCCATGGAGTGGCTTCACAACATCTCGGTGAATGCCCAGCCAGAGCACAGACCTAAATCCAATTGATCATCTCTGGAGAGATCTGAAAATGGCTGTACATCATTGCTCCTATCCAACCTGATAGAGCTAGAGAGGTACTGCAAAGAGCAATGGGCAGACAGGTGTGCTCAGCTTGTGGCATCATATTTAAAAAGACTTGAGGCTGTAATTGCTGCCAAAGGTGCATCAACAAAGTGTTGAGCAAAAGCTGTAAATACTTATGTACATGTGATTTTTTTAGGTTTTTATTTTTAATACATTTGCAACAATTTCAAATAAACTTTTCCACATTGTCATTATGAGATATTGTGTGTAGAATTTTGAGGAAATCAATTAATTAATCAATTTTTGGAATAAGGCTGTAACATAAATAAATGTGGAAAATGTGGAAGAAGGGCTGTGAATACTTTCCGGATTCACTGTATAAAGATCAGTTTAGACTGTGTAAAGGTAGAAGTACAATCCATTTCTTCCAGAATTGCAGGTATTTGTCCATTTGTAAAAGTCATCCTTTCCATATTTTGAACATTATATTTAATATCTAATAATTCAGATTTTGAAGGGGGTTTGAGTTGTAGCCACTGATTTTCGAGTTGCCGTTTTTTAACAAATACTTGTCTTTTACCATCAAGTTTGCTGCAATGTCCCCCAGGTAAATTGTTGTAAAAGAAAAGTTCATTCTATCACCAAAAGTATTTTGTATTACTTGCATATCATCATGCCAGTATGACTGAATAAGGCAACTCTAAAATGTCAATAACTGCTGATTTTTTATTACACTAAATAAAATATCTGAAAAATATTTATGAAAATCTCTGTGTCATTATTACCAAGACAACAAAACCTGTCAGTTTCATGACAGCTTGAAATCTACATTATATATGACAACACAAATTGTCATAAATCTGTCATAAACAGGTTTGTCATGAGGCCATTATAATTGTCATAATATTTTCTGATTGCTTTTTTTAAGAGGAACAAACTAAAATATAAAATTCTAAATTCTCAGTAAAAGTGTGAGTACTCTATTATTACTCAATGACATTTTAAAGACAAATTAATTTTCCTATCATTGTAGAGGTCAAGAGATATATTATTCATTATGTTGTCTTGATAATGTCAAGTTGACAAAGACACTGACAAGTTATGGCATATTTGGTTATGGCAAGCTGTCATAAAGACATCTCAAACAATGTCACCTTGACATAATAACACTTAATGACAGTTTTCAAAATCTCATTCATATTCATGACATGTCTCATGAAAACTGTGATTTGGTGTCTGTTGCCTTTGGCTGGAGTTTGCTTTCCTCCAACTGAGCATGTTTAATTGGCGTTTGTTGGATTGTGAAATATCTGAGCAGTGTGATGATTTTCCAACAAATTGTCACCTTAGAATTATAAGGTTCTATCTGATATTTTTGTCAAAATTGAGTTATTGACATATTCTTATTAAATGACAACTTATTTACATTATGGGATTTTTTATAAGTTGTTTACTTTTTAAGACTTTTACACACATACTGTTTGCTATGGAATGCAACAACTTTTAAGCTCAATATCTCAAAATCATTCAGAACACAGATAGAACCTTATAATTCCAAGGTGACAAAATGGCAACAAACTCAGACATCCCAATCCCAATTCTACCCCTTAGCCGTTCCCCTTACCCCTACCCATTGTTTTGCATGTTCACGTAAAGGGGTAGGGGTGTCCCAGTTCTCTTTAGCTTGAAGGCATAGAGCTAAGGGAAAGGGTTAGATAGCCCTTGAAACTGAGATTTTTCAGGACCACACTTGAAACCAAGAGGTATGAAAATTTCCCAGAGTACATCATTTACAACGGCAGCATGGCTGCACACGGATGAGACAAATGAGCATTTTTTGTTAATATTACGAATTTGTACAATAAACAATAAAACATATGTTTTATTACATTCACAACGGCGTTGATGTTTTACCGTCATTCTTAAAAAAAAAAGCAATAAAAAAAAAACTGATAAATTTCGCTAACTATTCTCTCTAATAATCACTCTTGTATAGCAGTCCCACAACATACTTTCACATCTGTCACTCAATGACACTGGAATCCCCTGTCAGAAAAGTCTAGTGGCTGGAAATGACCTTTTACAGAGTCTACTATAATGTTAATGTTGTTTTAGTGTGTTTAAATAGATGAGTACGGCCACGCTGTAAATACACAGTATAGTTACAATCTTATTGCCACATTATATCATAATAATAACAACATTATATCATTGCATTTAGCAACTGGAATAACTACAGCAGTCACAATCATCAATCTCATATGGAGCAAGAGATTTGATGACATGCACAGGCGTTGTAGTGGTGTCCATTACAGTATGCACTAAAGTATGCTAAAAAAGTATGCGAGCTGAATATGTTTGAATTAATAGAATTAAAAAATCAGTATGCGAGAAGTATGCATTCATACTGTACTACTCACATTCATACTATAGTGAACGCACTTTTCTAATGGTCGTGTAGTATGTTTAAATTCAAATTCAGTCTCTACTGATTAATTAGTTTTGAACGCAGCCATAGTCTAAGCCTGGTTTATACTTCTGTGTCAATCGATCGCCATGACCCACGTTGCTTTCCTTGCGGGTTGCTGTGCATTCATACTTCTGCGTATTGTTTGTGTTGCTCTGCAATAAAACTTCTGAAACACTAGCTGGCAGTGTGGTTTCTATGTTCCTCTGTGTGGAGTTTATTTATTTATTTTATTTTTTTTTTCTAAACGCTACCTTAAATGTAGAAGTAGCTCAAACTCGTTCATTCAGAAGTGGGAACCAGCAGACATGCAACAACTTTAATCATAATGTAAACACAAAACAAAAGTTTCAATCTGGAGCTCCTTCACGGGACTCCACACTTGTAAATACTCGCTCCAAAGGTTTTGTGCGGCTCTCACCCCTGCCCATACTCGTCAGCGCTACCAAGCCGTTGAATCAAAGAGCTTGCGATACGCTAGCTCTGATCGCTAAAACGTAGTTAATTTCTTTGAGAGGTATGCGTCAGCTTTGCCGTCAGTCATGGCAAGGGCTATGCGACCATTCAAAGGCTGTGTCACAGGGACAGTTTAACCAGGGACCAGTTAGGCTTGTTAAAATGTCTTTCAAGCTCAGAGAAGGATTAATTCAATAATTAAATAGTTCAGCAAGTATTGTGTGTGGAAAGTAATTTCCATAACATTCTAAATACAATGACCAACTGTGCAGTGTGTGAACTGGCCTTAAAACATGCAGAGCACAAGACACCACACACTACATTATCTACATGCAGTCCCTCTCATTTATTTGGATTGTACATTTAATATAATTAATTATTGGCTTTTCATCAACTCAACTGCAGTTCCCTCATGTGAAACTCTGATACGGACCTCAGTCAGGGTGAACAAAATTAGATTTGTGAATTAAATTGAAAATGAGGCAGTGAGAGACAGACATTCTTTGTGTTCAATAGATTGTACTTTTGCTTAACACACTGCCAATTGTTCGGCTGATGAAACATCTTTCCAAAAAAACTTTCAGCCGACAAACATTTCGGAGTTATGAAATTCGTTGAAAATGCCAGATTGTCAATTAATTCTGCACACAAAGATGCTTATTTCAGCAGGAGAACTGATGTGACAAGGCTGCAGATAAGCACTGTGTGTGTATGCGCGCATATGTGTGTGCGTGAAGTCATTCTGATGGTTTAGTTGTGTGTTTGTGTTAATTAAACTGAACGGACAGAACAGAAATGCTGGAAGTGTGTGTGTGTGTGTGTGAGTGTGTGTGTGTGTGTGTGTGTGTGTGTGTGTGTGTGCGTGCATTCATGAATAAGGCATAAAGAAGCCTGACCCTAGGGGGAAATACGCAAACGCACACACACACACATGCATAAACACACACGCACAGATTATTTACATTCAGGCAGAACTTTTTGCTAAGCACAGAGTGTTTTTATTAGACCTGAAACTGTACATGAACACAAATGCCTCTAGTGAAGTCAGTTTCACACATAATGTGTTGAAAAATAGATCTGTACTCAAATCATAATGCAGGTTAGTCTCACAATTCAATGCAGTAAAGGTGAACTGCAGCAAGCATGGATGGAATCACAGGATCACTCATGAAATAATCGAATTTAAAGTATGAAATTTGGCAACTGCAACACAGATCTGTGTCTATGAATATGAAAATCTGAAACTGTTGTTTAAATAATTAAAGCCCACAATAATCATTTATTTTTGTAAAAATTGTTCAAGCAAGGTTTTTGGAGGTTTTATAAGGATACATTTAAGACTTTAAGTAGGAATGTAATGATTTATCTCACTCACGATTCTATATGATTCATGATACTAATCTCACAATACAATTTAGTCACAACTTTTTAACAAAAATGTTTGAAACAAATTTACGGTGAAGAGCCCTTGCATTTTGTTTTCCTAAACGCTGCACATTTTTGCAAAACAGCATATTTTCTGCCATAACCAAATTGATAATTTAAAAACAATAACAACAAGAATACAACTAAAGAAGGCTCTTTAATAAAAACAAACTAAAACTTTGATTTTTTTTTTTTAAAGAAATATCAGCATATCTATGTTTTCATGAGTTGGGGTCTTTGCACATTTACATTGTCCACTTCTGAAAAAACTCTTTACTGGGGACTGAGATGACTGGTGTGGAGAGGTAAGCCTTTCCTAAACCAGAGAGCAGTGTGTACTGAGGTAGAAGATCCTCTGATCCAAGGCACTGACCACTGGCATAACTGATTAAATCTATAATTACTTAGAGACAGTAGTTGAACATGATTATGAAAGTGATAATAAATATTACTTGAATAATTAATTACCATAAGTATCAGTGTGATACACTTAAGAACATTTTTAAATATTCAATAATAATAAGAAAATGTTTAAAATATGCATGAACTGATTTGAAAAGGAGAGGGTCAAAAAATCTAATACTAGGTTCTGCAACAGAACAACTTTCTCTTTCAGTCTAAAAAAACATCTTCAGACTTTCGCCATAAAAACACTGATGCGCTGTGTGAGCTCCATTGCACTCATCGGAGCAAGATGCAAATCCAGTCTACGTGGTTTGGCTTGTTAGTACAGAATTTTTTTTTTGCATATACATAGACATCTGTGACAGTAGTTTTTCACTGTGCTGACGGTTTATGTGCATCCTAATCATTGCTCTGTTTGTGTAAGAAATGGCTTTTCGCAGTATTTGCAGTTTGTTTTGTCTGAGCACCGCTGTCATTTACCATAGACATTTACATTAGATGTTGTCTACGCTATTGGTGACTATTGGAAGGTATTCGTCAATAGAGCTGCCATTTTAGTACAGGGTAGCGCTCCATTGAAATGAATGTGGGAATGTGCAGTAGAGGACTGGCCATCCAGAGCCAAAGATATATATACACATATATCTATGATCGGAAGATTTCCCATAAAAGGTCTCACTTAAAGCAACTGTGACAGAAATAAATTACAATGCAGTAATATACTGTATTTCTCCAAGAAAAATCTACATTTTCCCATATTAACAGTATAAACCCATGTTCTATTCATTTTCATAATTCCATTTTACAAGATTATTTATACTGCACACTTTCTACCTTTTTACCTTATTATCGATGACAACGTAAAAAAAAAGAAAAAAACAAAAACAATAAAAAGATTAGATTGTATTAGTTATCTAATCTTATTAAGACTTAACTTGATTTATATGTGCACCTTGATTACAAATACATATTTCATACGTGTTAATATTGAAGACAATAATGGCTAAGTGGCACAGTCACTGCTGATTTAATGTCACTCAACATTCACACTGATCATTCATGTTGATTTATGGAGAAACACACAGTGACAGTTTTAGAAGGGTAGCCACATTACCTGACCCGCTCTTTAGGGTCACCAAATGACTCCTTGAGGTGAGAGAAGTCTGGATAGAAATGGACAGAGGGAGAAATGATCTCCAAAAGCCCAGACTGAATCTCCCCCGGAAACCTGAAACACAGATGCATCATAATTACTTCACTGTATATGTTTACACCTTCAGAAAAGTTTAAATTAGACTTTAAATGACACATTTTTTCTTCATAATCATACTGAACACAACATTGTATGTGTGAGTGTTTGACACAACAATGACACAACTGTCATTGTGATGTGTGTGGGGGGGGGGAAAAAATTATATATATATATATATATACTCGGTATACTTGAATACTTGAGTCATCCAGGAAGGTGTGTTGAGGCAAGTTGGAGCTAAACCCTGCAGGGACACCGGCCCTCCAGGACCGAGATTGGTGACCCCTGCTCTAGATCAATGATTCATGAGTTATTGAATTTATGATTTTAATTAGGGTAAGTCTTATCGAATACAGTTAAAGTCAGAATTATTAGTCCCCCTGAATTATAATCCTACATTATTATTATGTCTACATGAATAAATCCATTGAGTTGCTGCCACATGACTAGCTGATTAGAAATTTGTGTTAACAAGCAGTTGGACACGTGTACCTAATAAAGTGGCCAGTGAGTGTATAAACTAATTAGATTAAAATGAAAATTTTGCCTTTTTAATGGTTTATTTTGTTTCATATCATTAACAGTTAGTTAGTTAGTTAGTTAGTTAGTTAGTTAGTTAGTTAGTTAGTTTTTGTAAATTTCAATAACTCTGCATCCACATTACACACATAATCCAAACAAAAGATCTAATCAAAACCCCTGCACAAAGATCCTGTATTGTAAGTCTCTGCAGAAATCAATGTAAACACAAGCACATGACTAATGTGGGACGAGCAGAATGAAGCAGAAGATCTCAAACACCCAGAGGACAAATTTACCCTTATGTTTTTTATTCTGCTATTGTCCTCAAAAAGCATGTGAGGAAAGTCTACAGTCACATGATTGATCTCTCACTCAAACACAAACACAGATGTCTCAGCAAAACTAAAGCATATTGTGTAGTGATAATAAAAACAGGCTACTTACAGGCGCTTAAGGTTGTCAGCAACGCTATTTGCATATTGTTGATCCGTCTGCAAAAAAACAAAGCAAGAATCAATAGTTTAATTAACTTTTATGCGTCACAAATGTTCTCCCCCTAAAAACAAATGTTCACCTTTGGGCTAGACAAGTGTTTGTATCAGTTTTTTGGAAGGATGTTGTAAGTTCAATGTCGGTTCTCATTTCCTGACTTTTTCTGCTAAAGAGATTATACGGTCTCTGTAGTCAAGAGGGGAACTTTAACTGTCCAATAATGGAAGCAAATGATCATGAGCTGCCGAAGCACTTTCCACTATAAAGCAGCAGATGGATTTAACTGTTCAGATTCAATTTCACGCTTCGTTCAAAATGCAACTTAAGTACGAAAATACTCTGAGTTTCCACAAGAGGCACTATAGCAAACATTTGAATAACATCTTTTATTTTCCTCAATCAGATTTTTGTTTTCAAGGTTGCTTAAAAACTGCTTTATTTTTTGATGCAAACTAAATGTTTAAAATATGTACTGTTGGTGTACCTTAAGGAACTGTGTTGAGAACCTCTGAATTAATGCAGAGGTAATTCTTCTGTATTAATGTGACCCCTTCAATGATACACAAAGGCTTACTTGTGAATAGCAAAAATAAATAAATAAATAATCGAATCACTTTATTATATTTTCTTAGTAACATGAGGGTAAATTCACACTTTTAAGGTAACTAAATGCACCATTATTATTGAAAGATAAAGAGACACTGATCATTCATACACAAAGCTTCCGCCTTTCCCTCTCACAAACTCTCGATCTCACTCTCTAAGAATGAATTCAAATTAAAAGCTATAATTCATGTAATTTTACTGCATGGTTTCATCTGTCATATTTTAAATGGCCAGAAAGCAAGATCTAACTAGCCACGATTGATGAAAATAAGGGTCATATCTGCCCCCTTGGCAATTATTGAGCTGTAATAGGCCGTAAGGTGAAGCACGTTTTCGTTTCATTCCGTTCCCATACATGGGGCACTACATTTTTTTCATCCCCAAAAATTGATCAATTGGTATAGAATTGGTATAGAAAAGTAAAAGTTTGCCGTGTATAATCATGCAGTTATTTTTTTACAAGTGTTTAAAGTTGGCAATAGTTCCATCCTCGCGTAATCGTTTTTTGATGGTGAGAGAAGCGGCTTCGCGTCATGTGCTTCCCACTAGACCAATAAGATGGCCTAAGGTCGGAACAACATGTAAACATGGTCCAAGATGGCAGCGCCCTTGTTGTCACTATCGAGTAGGGAAGAAGATGAAAATATGGTCAGACCAAAAAGCAGTAAAATGGTTTATAAACAATGCTATATGCATCTCACGTCCATAAAAGAAGAAACGAAGGATTTTGCACGCAAACTGTGGAATACATTTAGAAACTGCATCAAACGGGGGCTTGGCCTGCAGGATGAGAGCCGTAAAATAGCAGAAACATACAAACAGTGACTAAAAATCAAGTTTGAAAGTGTGCCCGAAGACGCTGGGTTTCATTCGTCTTGCTACATGCATTTTATTGGTATAAAGCGCTTGGATAAGGCCGAGAAACGAGTTTCATGGCACCCTGAAGCTGGTGATGATCATCACACAGACTACTCTGTGTCATTGGGAATTAATGTTTTGTCAAAGTATCATCATTTACAACTTTAACTTTGAGTGAAAACAAGGCAAACCCCTCTCTTTTGGTTCAGGTTTTCCTTAGAATTTTTTGGAAAAATGCTCCAAGATGGGTGTGGAGCTCTGTGAGCAAAGAGAGGAGTGGGTGTGGCCAGTAGAGCAGGGGAAAAAGAGGGAAGCAAACAACTGTTGTCACTCGGCTCACAAAATGAGAAGCAAACCATGAGGAGACCCATGATTTTAGTTTAGAAAGTTAAAATGCAAAGAAATAAACAGTAAGCAATTTTATGTACTGCTACATTTGTTATTAGTAATTTCATAAGCACATAACCACAATTTGTTAAATCACCATAAAGATAACCATGTTTATATAAACACTACAAACGGGGAGGACTGCTCTACACCTGAATCCCCAGGTCTGAATGTAGACACAGTGAATAGCAGTACAGCCACTCTCTTGCCATTTCTATTACAACCAATGACCCTGCCGGTTATCTGGAGGAATTTAAACATAGGTGACTGACGCAGCACAGGTATAGTCGATATGTATGAATGGTAACAAATTCAACTGATGAAATACAAAGTTTGTCATTCTCCAATTCTCGTACAGCTCACCCTACAAAAATGCTTACAGTAAAGCTGTTGGTTTACAGCATCGGCCATGGCAGAATTGGCAGGAAAAACATGCAACAAACACCGTGGATCATGGAAACAAACCCATACAACCCGTGCCATGCGCAGATGCAGACTCAACCAGTCATTGGGTCTCACAGCTTGGCATGTCTGCCTTGCCTTCAGAAAGCTTGTGCTCTCATTGATAATTAAGAAGCAGGGTCTTCTCATAGGATAAGAAAACTCTATGAATAATAAGCTATGAATAAAAAAACAGGCGTCATCACTTCACTAGCAAATGTGCGCTATGTCACTGATTTTGATTCTGTCCCAAATATTATTTTAAACCCAGAAGATGAAATTAGTTGACAAAAGCTCAAAGTTATCCAGTTTTCCCCACAGTTAAAGGTAACAGGTGCTAACGTCATCTTAAATGATGCTCAAAACAAACTAATCTGTTAAAATCTCAAGAAAAGTACTCCAGGGTGTCTTGAACCTTTAGGAAAAACTCTTAATTTAAAAAAAAATTATAATATTTTACTTGCTCTAAGAATGTTTTGATATTTGAAACAAGACAAAACAAAGTGAGAAACATTGCATTGTGGTGGTTCAATTTCTATACCTGAATACAGCTAGACTCCACAGAAAATCATCAAATTGAGCCATTCAAAACTATCTTGTGAAACATATTCATATCACAATATTTATAGCAGAAAAATAAAATAAAATATTTATAGCAGAAAAAATATTGCAATTTTTCCAATATCGTGCAGCCCTAGTCTGTACATTATTAAGAAAGTTTGTAGGGCTTGCTTGTTTTATGGCTGGTCTAAAAAGATTTTTAAAAGGCCTAATACTGTCACAGTCTCGTCTGGTACGTCTGGTAAGTCTGGTAGTGTGTAATGTCATGTGACTTTCCATTACACTTTGTTATTCCATGTGTTTCTGAGTTGTTTCATGTGCTTTTGTTATGACCGCGTGCTTCTTTGTTTGGTTTTCCCGCCTCTAGTTAGTTTCATGAGTTTCACCTTTGTCTCACCCCACCCCACCACACCTGACAAATACACAACTTTCTGAAAACTACTACAGTCTTTATTGATACTGATGGTTTCATGAAAAACCTTTTCTTTGTTTTGTGTTTTTTTTTTTGTTTGTTTGTTTTTTTTTTTAAAACAAGGTCTTTCACACTATACAAAAAATATTTTATGAACTATTCACATATAACCCTTTAAAACCAAGTGTTCAGTCAGTGTTGCCAAGACAGCAGAATTGGGCTATTTTCAATCTGTTCCCGCGGGTTGTTTTTGTTGGTTTTGTTTTTAATTCTGCATTAAAATATCCACCTCACTCCTACCATCTCCAAACCTCCATACACCAATACTTGAATGCAATATTTAAAATAATAGTGAATAATAACATAACACTGAAGACATTATTGCTTTTAACCTTTCTGTTAAAATTTCAGCACACTGCTCAACATGTTATTCTCCCATGTATTCTGTGTCTATAAAAATATGTCGCACTACATTTTTTTATTGCTCAGAATCTACATATGTACACACCATGGTACACCGCATAAACATACTGAATTTACTGTTCTTAAGCAGAGTTTCATGTTTGTGTTGCTGGAAAAGCAGTGTTTTTTCTTCAGTCAGTCGTCCATTCGTTCACTCGTTTTTAACTACCTACCTACATACATACATAAATACACAAATAAGCCATTGATTCGCTAAAACAAAAAACAATTACTGCAATTTTTCTGTGAGATTGGGTTAAAAATTCCCTCCTTCTACCCAGGGGCAGACTTAACCAATAAGCAAGGTAAGCAGCCACTTAGGGTCCCGGGGGAATTAGGGGGGCCTGACCAATGTCAAGAAGCCTTTATTAATCATAACTCTTACACATTTTCAGTCATATGTTGTAAAATCAGTCTATAACCATTAAGATTTTAACATTGTTAAGTTTTTTTTTCAAAATTTTGGGCCCTTATGAATAGTGGAATGTTCCTTTAGCACATGCAGATGCAGATATTCAAATCTGATCACAAATATGGGCCCTATACCTGGGATTACTGTACCAGTGCTACCATTACTATTAATATTTTTTATTCCCAACTGTTTCTCTATTTAAAGTTATGTTATTTTCCAGTGTCTCTTTCTTACATAGTTAATCTTTATAGCATTCAATAATAATAATAATAATAATAATAATAATAACTATAATAATAAAACTGATATATACGTTACATCTATGGAAGGATAAGACTCATCCCATTCATGCACCCGCAAATAAAGGCTACATCTCTATTTAATGAAAGACAGAGAGAGCTAATGTGTAACAAATTTATTAAAAGACAGTCTTACATGCATGTAACCCCACCGGTCCGACACCTACCCAGACACTCTGAGCAGAATGCAAACCGGCAATACCAGCATGGGAGACAACTGCTCTAACAGGAAGGCTAAAGATTGCAGAATAACATCTGTCACTGGATCACCTCATGAAATCTGAGAAGTGAGGATTACTCGATCCCCAGCTGCTCTCAGTTACATTAGGGCGAATGTAAATGTCCAAGACACTGGTATTGAAATTTAATGCTACTATTTTTTTTTTTTTTAGCTTTTTTTGCATATTTACTAGAAAAATAATCTTGAATGTCAATCTCCACCTGCCACCAGCAACTGGAGATTGTTAATCTACACTCTATTGCCAGGGTGTTAAACTCTGCATAGATTAGTTCCAACCCTTTAGCACACTTACCTGTAGGTTTCAAATAAGCCTAAATGGC